TGAACGCAGAGATGTATCCCATTACATAACATTGACTCGGGTTTAAATGTGTTTCCCAAGATTTTTAAAACGATACAGTTGATATCCGTTAACGAAGGTTTTTCATTAAAATATCCAAATGAACAAAATTTATTGCCAAAATAAGAAGTTCCGCCATACAATTTGATATCACTACTAAACACAAAATCGCCATTTGAGTCCAATTTGAGTTGTTTCATATATTCAGATAATTCGCTTTCTTTTTGAGCTTCGGCTTTTCTTAAATAATCATCTTTTTCTTTGTCATATTGTTCAATAGTATTAAAAGGCATATACTGGGAAGTCCCATGTAACCACTCAAGTTTATTAGGTGCTGGACCCGTTAAAAAAACGTTTCTAAATATTCCAATTTCGTGTTTTTTGATATTTTTAAGGATATCAAAATCATCAAAAAAGACGATTGAAATTGTACCCAAACTTTGGTCAAAGACTTGAAGTGATAAAAAATCATATTCGCCACTTTTCTGTATTTTGAGATCGTTTCCTGCAGACATTGTAATGCAACAGATGTTATACAAACAACCAGCAGCCATGGTGTAAAGTTTTGAAATTTCAGAAATGTGTGGATTAAACTTAATTTCATTTTTAATGTCAACTTTTTGATATTTGGTGTTTTTATCCATTTTCAAAGTAAAATTCTGGTAAAATGCACTTTGACACTCCATATAAGATTTGTTGGGTTTCATGTGATAATTTGAGAAAGCAAAAGTTGTTCCAATATTCAACTCTGCATATTTTTGTTTACACGTATTATCTGAAGAATCAAAGTTAAAAATGCATGAAGTGTTATTTGCATACAAATCTTGAACTTCAAGTGTGAAACAAGTTATGTTCAAATTGGTGTTGATTTCCGATTTATTTGTTATTAATAATTTGATTGGACATTCTCCTTCTTTGTAAGTTTGAAAAACATCTAATAATGTATCATATGTAGTTAAAGATTGACCACCAGTATTTTCTGAAGCAATGCCGCTCGATTTTATGTCTTTGCAATCTACTGCATTTGTTTCATCATCACTTTCTTGTTCGGATGTTTCGTTTAATATCATAATATCATTTGATATATCAGTTTGAACGGTTTGGATTTCAGTAGGCTGGTCCTTTATTTGAACGTTTGAAGGAATTGTTGGAGGTGAAACAAATTGTGTGATGTTGTCTTTTGTTGTATTAGAATGATTTTTAATATTTTCCAACTCCTTTTTAACGTCGTTAAGTTGACTTTTAAACACATCAATTGACACAGTTAAAACATTTAAAGAAGAACTGATGTTATCCACACACTTTTCACAGGCGGATATTTTGTCGGTTTCCATTTATTAATTAAAAAGTATTTTTTTAATGCAAAAATTATTAAATCAAAAAAATCTTTAAAAAACTCATTTTTTTATTTTTTAAAGTCATTAATTTTTTTAATAATAGAAGTTAAATAAAAATATTAAATTGTGTTATTTATTTGATTTAGTTATCGAATTTAATTCATTATTATTGTATAATTAATTTTTTGGAATTTAAAAAATAAAGTTAATCTTTTAAGAGAAAGGACGGACATGGGGACGAAGGACGGGAATATAGGCCGAAGGACGTCCTTTGTGGTTTAAGGACGTCCTCCTGTGTATATGGTGTCCTTTCTATTATTTTCGTGTCCGCGGCATTTTGAAAACTATATAATGAGTTATAATATTATTATAATTTTATTATAAAAAATATATTTTTATCCAAAAATAAATTTAATCAAAGACAAATGTTAAACGACAAGTAATTTCGTTATAAATTAATGGTTTTTATTAAAAATGCATATTTAATTAGTTTTTCAAAGAAAACTGAATGGTAAAATAAAAAAAAATGATAATTTTTTATAAACCAATAATATATAACAAAATTACTTGTTAAATAGTTTTTGTCTTTGATTAAATTTATTTTTGGAAATAATTATATTTTTTGATTGTATATTTATAATAAAAATATACTTCGTCATATAGTTTCGATAATGAATAAAAAATGCCGCGGACACGAAAATAATAAAAAGGACACCATATACACAAGAAAACGTCCTTTATAGCGGGAGGACGTCCTTAAACCACAAAGGACGTCCTTCGGCCTATATTCCTTCCTTCGTCCCCATGTCCGTC